ACTCAATTAAGGTATGAAATTACCCAATTTTGGGAGAAACATATCCCCAATTGAAATTTTATAAAATTGAAACTTCAGGCATAAAATTGGCATTAAAATAAGACTAATGGTTATTTTTGTGAAATTTTTAGAAGACATTTGTTATTTTTCTTGATTTTCTCTCCCCTTTTAGAAAAAAGAAATTAAGGAAAAATTCAGGAAAAAATATAAAAAATTTTATTTTTGTTTAGGAATAGATTCCTAAGCATGGCCAAGGTTCCTAATCTTAATTTTGTGATTTTATTTGAAATTGAAAACTTTGACTAAAAATTAGGTGTAACACTCGGCAGTGGTGAGGCCACAGCAACGGTAGAGGAAAGTAGGGGAGAGGGAAAGGAGAGGGGGAGGGAAAGAGAGGAGAGGGCTGGGTTTGGGCCTAGCGGGGGGAGAGAAAAAAACAAAGAAAAGAGGAAAGGGGCCAGGCCCTTCGAGTGGAAGAAAGGATGGGGTCTAGTCGATCCGGTTAGATTTTTTTGCAATTTTTCTTTTCTTTTTTTAAAGAAAAATATATTTTAATTAGTCCTATTAATGCAAATACACCTAATGTCTTTATGCCATGCAATAAAATAAAAAATATTTTTGTTTAGGGGTTAAAAATTTAACTCTTCATTTTTGTGCAATAAATTTTAATTGGATAGGTGTCAACAGTACAAGATATGTCTTAATCGCAATATGAGAAGTTGCAGAAGCAGATCTCACCAAAAGCAACAGGATTGTGTTTGCCACTTTTTTAGTGGCACCGACTACATTGGAACGCCTCTCCAAAATTTCAAGAAACCGCACAAAGTGTAAATGCAACAAAAGGGATAGGAGTGATAGGACCAATAAATCAAACATAAAAGCACATTAATGCCAAAACAATCTGCAAAAGTGAAACTGCTGCTTGTGTCTCAACTTTTTCTCTTATTGAGAGCCGTGTATTTTAGCGAGGTTAGTACTTGATTGTTGCTCGCTACTACTTTTGGGCCACCTGTTTCTTAATTTCTAGCCGTGTTCTTACCTTTCCAGATAATGTATTCCTGTATGATGAGCGGGTTTATGACTTCAGAGCAGTGCGGTTTGTCAATGACATGATTGTAGAATGCATCAGTTTTGTGGAAGTCTCTGTAGGGTAAAGCCCTGCTGCAATGTATCTATATGATAGAGGTTTATAAGGTTGGGGATGCGCGATACATTAATCAGCTAGGCTATATTCTATCAGGAGTTTTAGAATTAAAGAAATCATTTGAATTTGTATGCTAAACCTAGAATGATTAAACGCGAATTAGACATCTTTTAACCAAACTGTGATTTCACCGAACCACTTTCAACTCTGTCGGTATGACAATTTGATCTGCTGAGCGAGAATGATTCGGGTGTTTACTATACATGATGAAGGCCAAGCAATTTGACAAAAAACAGAATTTGTTTCTAATGGAGCTATCAAGAAAATGTAGTTTGCATATGGTTGCATGACTTTCTTTTCATGTAAAGCTAGAAAGGGTTCGTGCCTACTAGTTGGATGCCTCCCTTGATATTCTCCTCGCTTCAATTAAACGGCAGTGGGCAGTAATCTTCTTCATTGCAGCCTTTTTGGAAGTTTACATCGGTCAACCTTTTCTCTGTGATATTCTGTGTTCGTGAAGATTGTCAAATTTGGTCACCTAAGTGCTTCAGGTAATTCTCTTTTCATGACATTATTACACGGGATGGGAAGTTTATCTCTAAGAATTTTATAAAACATTAACACTATGTAAAGTCCTTGAAATTATCTATCCAATATTTGGAATCAGAAACATTGTTTAGCATGACATTTCTACATATTGGTCCGCCTACTGCCAGCACATTCAGTGCACTTGTTGTGACATCCCGAAATTTCGCCCAATTGGGATTTATGAAATGACTGAATTTATTAATGTAGTTGTAGTCAGTCTCGCCCGGAACTGATCATTCTTGGGATACTAACCTGTAGGGAAAGGCTAATTATGGATTTAAATTCGTACGACTAGAGAGATTCGATCGTGAGCCGACTTTCGATCAGAAAATCGTCGAAGTGACATTTTGAGCCAACAAGGGCCAATCTTAGGATAGTGAAGGGCCGATTCGTCACTGTCACACTAGTGGATCACGGGTGATTCCGTTTGACCACGAAGTGAATTGACGAACGATCCAGAACCTATACCGAACGATCGTGCTTATCAGAACTAGTGATCGATCTTCGCGATTTTATTGACAACCGAGGTCGACACGATCAGAACGAACTTGCACGTGACTTGATTTAGTATCAGTCATGGGTCGATTCTGCGAATTTTCCCGAAAGCCGCCTGTTAGTCTGAGATATGCACAAGTTACATTATATAGAATTCAATTATTAAATTGAGACTAAATTGGGCATTTGAAAATTAAGAAGTGATGGCAGAACGTTAGGACGACGTTGCGGTTGGAATGTGTAATTTTGGATGTGCCCGAATCCTTCAGAAAAATTCTTTTTTGGCAAGAGAATGGGAAAGTGACCATTTTACCCTTGGGAATTTCTAAAGGGCTAGTTTTATGAAGCAAGGGCATTTTGGTAATTTTGCCCAAAAATTTGGAAAAGACACTTTTGCCCTTGGACTTTTTGAGAAATTACAAGATTGTCCTTGGATATTTTAAATAAGATTCGATTTGGGCCGTCAATTTCAAGATAAGATTGAATCTGGGCCGTTGGATGAAAAGTAGAGAGAAGGGCATTTTGGTCATTTACCAAAATTGGGTCAAAACTTGAAGAAAAAGGCAAGACCTCTCTCTCTCTCCTCATTCTCTTCCTCCCCTCCTTCGGCCACACCTCCCCCATCGAAGCCACCCTCTCCGACCATCTCTCTCTCCCGCCTTGCTGCACCGCCCGTCGCCGCCGCCGCAAGATCGCCGTCGATCGCACCCGTTTCACTCTAGCCGCATGAGTCTAGAGTCGGGTAAGTCGCGATCTAAACCCCGCCTAGTATATCGGGTTATTTCGGGCCCGTTTAGATGCGATTTGGTGGAAATTAGGAATTAATTGGATTAGCGGGCCTTAGATGCGAAATCGGGAAGATTTGGTGGAATTTTAGAGGTCAATTGATGGCTGTGATTAGCTGTTTAGTGTGCTGTGACGGGCTGTTCGGTACGCGGTTAGTACCATTAGGACCGGCTCGGAATTTCGTGAAAATGTCGTGAAGAGCCGGGAGTGAAATATGGTGATTTTGAGGGTGAAAAAGGCTGATTGATGGCTGTGGTGTGTGGTTTTAGGTGCTGTGGGGTGCTGTTCATTGCGTGGTTGGTACCGTTAGGTCCGGCTCGGAATTTCGTGAAAGTGTCGTGAAGAGCGGAGAGTGAAATATGGTGATTTTGAGGGCGAAAAAGGCTGATTGATGGCTGTGGTGTGTGGTTTTAGGTGCTGTGGGGTGCTGCTTGTCGCGTGGTTGATACCGTTAGGTCCGGCTCGAGATTTTGTGAAAATGCCGTGAAGGGCCTGAACTGATTTGATAATGTTTGGGTGTGGAAAAATGTCAGTTTGTGTGTTGATTGCGTGTTTTGTGATATGACTGTGTGGTTGTGATGTATTGGGTGCAATTGTGTGCACGGAATTTAATGCGAATGTGTGTGAGCTTGAGATTGGGATCGGGCCAAGGCATTATAAGCTCGGGTCGCTATCACGTAGGCCTGTCGCATTTGGCGCAGGCTGAGGATCGAGGAAATGGGAAATGAGATTGGCCTGGGGCATGATCAGCTCGGGTGAAAATGGGATCAGGCCGAGATGTTCTAAAACTCGGGTCGTGATCACGTAGGCCTGTTGCATTTGGCGCGGGCTAAGGAAGTGTGATGTGGGATCGGACCGAGGCGTGTGATGCTCGGGGCGCGATCGAGTGGGTCGAGGCGTGTTGACACAGGCCGGGAAATCGATCGAGTGGGCTGAGGCGTGTTGACGCGGTTCGGGAAAGTGTTTGAGCAAATGTGGGTTCGACGAGTGGATTGGAAATGTGGTGTGATTGATGTGTGAATTGATATGTGGAAAGTTCGCATGTTGTGGCATGTGCATGAGAATTGTTTGTTGAGATTGAGGACTAATGTGCAGGTTGCATGTGCTGAGAGTCCAGGTATGTGTGAGTGTGGATTGATTGGTTGTGTGTCTGGATATGTCTGGAATTACGTGGTAGCCTAGGTAAGGTTTAGGTTGCAACTTATTGAGAAGTGTCTCATGGTTATTTCAACCAAACCATTTCAGATCACCCGCCTGAGCAATGAACCAACCGCCACCAGAACATTTTGGTATACTCATGCACACTGATAATAATTTTGTGGAGTACCTAATGGATGAGCCAGTTGAAGAGCCTGTCGAGGAAGAGCAAGAGGAGATCCCAGGGGAGTCGGGGGATATAGACTACCCGATTGAGATTGGAGCTGAGTCAGAGTTCCCATTGGAAGCGACGATCTAAGAGGATATAGATCCGAGTGCTAGTGAGTCGGATTCAGAGTGGACGCCGTCTCGAGGACGTCGGGGCTAATGAGGAGGCTAGGAGTAGATGTTGAGGAGTACCATTTTTGGAGAGTAGGGTATCTACCCCTTTTGAGGTGTAATGACAATAGGTGTTGGTGGGTGTGCATGTATATTTGGGGGACTAATTTGACAGTGGAAGGGTACAAGTGTGCTAGCAAATGGATGTTGTATATATATATGGTAATGTAATGTTCTAAATATAAGTTGGCGGTTTGGCGTGTTAGTTTATTCTGGTGTTCTCCAATATTATTGTCCGGGTTTAATTATTTGTTTCCGCCGCGATTAGCTCTGACGAGGGAGTAGAGTCGGCGACGTATTCCTGGGATGTCGCACATGAACGACTCGAGGTAGTGGGATGTCGTAAGTTCGAAGGAGTTCAGGGCGTGACACCTGTCACATCATTTCAACTGGAAGCTAAACAATTTGATTGCTTAGTATCTTATTGTTTGTGTTGATGCTGACAGACTCTTCTAAGAAAATTAGGAAGCCAAGACCCTGGAAGCATCCTGAACCAATTACAATGGACAATATGTGGATGAAGATGCGTGAGGAGTTTTGGGACACCGCACCGCATTATGGTGAGAGACAAGGTATTCTTTCATTGTTAGGATAAGATGGTGTTAATATATGATGCACAGTAACCACCCTTCACCTTCACTTGCCCTCCTAGTGCTGCGGAAGAGAGGAGAATGCCAAGCTTTGCACAATGGGTGGATCATAGCTATGTGAATCATGAGTGCTGTTTTCGTTTGACCAAGTTTGAGCAATTTCCTTTTGAATTGTGATGTTTCTTGCTTAAATGTGCTGTGTAGCACATTTATCATGCTCCTGTAAACTACAAAACTATAGATAATTCACACTGCATGAGAAATATGCTTTCCATGGGAAAGCAGGACATGGCTTTCCTTCTTATTTTGGGAGAACTCATTTGTTATTTGTGGTCTTCTTGCGACTGGATCTGTTTTCAAATGTTAAAAACATGGGAACTGGTTTTAAATTGATTAGTATTGCCTAAATGTCCCTTTAGTTTTGGTCTGAATATTTCAATTAAACATCTCTTCTGGACATTTTCAGTCAAGAATTGGATTATGCCATACTCAAGGATTGCAATTGTCTTTATTGTTAGCAAGGGAGGAATGATATTTGAGTAACCATGGGCCTCTATATGTCCATCTGTAAGTGTTTACTATACCTTTGACACTAGAAATTGGTTTAGTGATATCGTTTTCTTTAGCTGAGGAATGCAACGTGTGACCTTTCTGATAATATTGCTGTACGGGAAGCTTGCTTGCCGCAGGATTTTCTTTTATTTTTATTTTTTGGACAGGTGGTTGTGGAATGTAAAGTTTCCTATTTTTTACTGCTCGTTGTTAAATATTAAAATGACTTGAATTACGAACAGCAATTGGATAAAGCACATCCAGTAAAATGTCTCGGTTGCTTTTTTTGGTACCTTGTGAGTGGTACAATACTGATCGCTAGAAGGTGGACTTCATGAATTATCTGGAATTTGGGATTCCTTTTTGGAGATTTTGTTGACCTTTTCATTTTTCATATTAAAACTTGTAGAGGCTAGAACCATGATGTACTTATTCCGTCAGTTTTAAACACGAGATTGTCTCTTTCATGAAACAAACTTTCTTTGCTGTGAAATCATTGTGTGGGATGACAAGTCTTGAGGTCATTTCTTGTTACTTCAAGTTGTTTGGAACCATGACTATGTCAAATGCCTTCCATATGATTCTACACATCTAGAAGATGTGGCACGTATTGAATATCAAAAGGTCTCCCAGAAAATGAAAGGTTTTTAGTAAGTTAAAGAATGACTTGCTACTAAGATTGTCGGCTAACATTAATTAATGAAAACCTCTTGATATGATTGCATTGAGATTCTTTTCAATTTGAGAAAGTGCCTGGAAACTACCTAGCATGTTGTACTTGAAAATAGGCTCAGGCTACTTCAACTCTCACTGCAGCCATTTGTAGTTTTGTTATTGACTGACCGATGTATTCCAGCATGAGTTTGCTCAAGTTTAGTAATGTGATGCATGTCCCCTAACACTTGTGGGTTTAAAAAGCATTGCACATCCGTCTTCTTATCTACAATGAAGAAACCTTCATAGCAATCTGCTTCTGCAAGCCTCCGCAGAGGTGGACGATATATTTGAAGCACATATTTTGAGCATGTTTTTTCAGGTATGTTTTAGCTGGGGCACAAGTTCAAACCTTATCTTGATGAGCATTTTCAGTGGTGAAACTTTAGAGAGGCTGAAGATGGTGAATGAGCTGACGTGAATTGGCATGTCAATATATCTTAATGACTCGAATCTTTTGGTTTCTGTTGTATAATAACTAACTTCCCTTCAATCTCTATAGGAATTTATTTCTCTCTCTCATTTCATATCACTGTTGTAGACTTGTTAAGCAATTTAATTATGGCTTTCAGAGATATGGGATGCTCTGCATGCCGCAGCAGAAGCAGATCTAACGCTTGCCCAAGCAATTGTGGATAGTGCTGGCGTGATTGTTCAGAGAGCTGACTTGACAGTATGCATGATGAAAGAGGGGCTATATCCATCTATTCTCCCAGTCCCCCGCTCGCTTCTTGCCCACCGCAAACTAGAAATCTTTTCCGTCTCTGTTGTTCTGTCCATAATCTAATCCATGCGATGATGATTGTTGCAGGTAGGAAGTACGAATTGCCCAAGCACGTTTTGAGCGAGCCGACCAATTTGATTGATGACAATTGACGATGGAGGCAGGGCGGATTTTGCTCGGCTTAGTGTGTGAATCCTATGAATTGATATCGATAGTTTGGTAAAACAAATTGCATCAAAGTGGAGCACATTCTGGCATTTTCATGGTGCACACTCCAATACAAATGTGACGTAACTTTTGCCCCACGAGATGTATAACTTCCATAGTTTCATATGGTTTGTTTCATTAGCAACCAAACCTTCTAAAGAAACGTAATCAATTCAGGTGATTGTTACGGTGGAAAATGATGCCATCTTCTGTTGCTAGACCATCTTTTGCTCTTAACTTGGCAGGGTGTTTGTCAAGCACATTGACCTTATAATATCATTTGTCTGTCATGTGGAGTTACTGATGGATCATCTTGTACTTGATTACAATTTTGGATGCGATTCTAAAATTGAAAACCAACCCTCCTAAAGGACCCAGGACAATATAGATCGTCCATTGCACAATGGGGAAAATGTGTTACATTGTGCACGATGTATAGTCGGAAATATATTTTCATATTATCCGCGAAAGCACAAGAGATCTTTGTGAAGTTTGAATTTAGCATTATTGTAGATTCATTCAGAGCCATTAATACCAAATCTGCCCAATTTGTATCTCTTGATTAACATAACGCATGGAGTGGAGACACTCATTGGGAAAATCAATAGATTGCTGATGGCAAACAAAATAGAAGCCCTCTTAAATTTTTTTATAGGCAAGAAGTTTTTTCAAACGATTGATCGCGATCTTCTGATTACAATCACGGAATACGATTCTATGATATTCTTTTGGTAGACTACGATTTGAACATTTGGATCAAACTTCAACCGGTAAAAAATGAATTCCCCTTCAATGGTTTGGAGATCCAATACTTTCCCTACGTTTTAGCACATCTTAGCACGAATGAATACTTTCCCTACGTTTTACTGAATGGTCGACGTACATAATGACCATACGAGGAAAAAAAATATTATTAAAGGTCCTCTTACCATCTCGTGATAAAACAGTGATAACTAAAGAAGTCACGAATACGATAGGACTGACAAAAGTGATATTGACCAGTTTTTCGCTGACATACCACAAGTGAATATATTTCTTAGAACAGCAAGCAAGCGGAGATCTAAATCAAAAGTCAATTGCTTCTAAAAAGGAATGGACTGCTAAATTTCGTGTCTATCATAATTCAATGTGTAAATTTGACGCGAGAAACAAGTTATATATAATATTCACCAATATTACATTGGCCACTAAGATCAACATTAAGCAAATAGTACGTGCATATGTTATAAGAGGTAAAAATAATGTTGTTGATATTTCCTTCTCTCTCCTCAATTACAAAAATAAATAAAATTTTAAATTGTAGCCTTTAAAATAATTTGGACAATCATGTGGATCCAAACTGAAAATACAATTCTACATATATGAAAGAAGAATTGCACGTTCCTTGCTAGATGGTGAAAATATTGTTGGAAGCACTACAGGAGCTTTCATAACAACAATAAAAACATGCGAAGCAATCTGAGATAAACTACCAAATATGTGTGGATTGCAAACTGAAGGTAGGACAACACTCCGAATTATGAAGAACACTCATAACCAACAAGCCGATAAACATGAAAGCCGCATCATCTTTCACACGTCTTTTTTTCCTTCCCCTCTTTCTTCCCGGACTTTCCGTCGCTTGTACTCGCTGATGTGGCCCCAAAACGAATGTTTTTTTAAATTTAGGCAGTCGTGAATTCTTAGTGAGCACTCATCTGGTACTTTCCAATTGAGTACATTAGGGAAACTTCTCAATGATCTACAACAGTAAAAATCCAAATGTTTGAGAGCCTCTAGTTCATCCAGGCCCTTGACTGCCAGAAGCTCATCGCATCTTCCTATTACCAAGGACTCCAGCTTTTTCAAACCCGATAGATCATCTAGACTTTCAATCTTAGGACACTCGTCTATTTCCAATCGCTCCAACGACTCCACCGAACCAAGACCTTGGATGGCAGTTAGATTTGGGCAACCACTCAGCGTCAACAGCTTCAACCTCTTCAACTTTGAAAGACCGGCAAATCCCTCGAGGAGTTCTACCCATATGACTACAAATTCAATCAACTGTTCAAGCCCACCGACTTGGACTTCCTTCCAACGGCATCTGTGAATGTGCAAACGTGTCAAGTTTCTCAAGTTGCAACCAAATGATAAACTGGTTATGGATTCATGATATTCAAGTGACAATGTTGACAGAGACGGTGGAAGGAGCGTGAGGGATTGTAGGCATGGACCATCTTGTAAGAACAAAGGATTGTTCTCACCCTGACCACCAAAGGCCAAATTCGCCAATTTAGTTAGGTTTGAGAGATCCGAGACCCACCGCAGCGAACTTGATCCGAAGCTTAGCCTTATCAAACTTGTGGGAAGCTCAGGCAATAGTTCAAGTCCAGTGCAATCAAATAATTCCAATTTCTCCAGGCGAGGAAGTAGTTTGATCGTCGCCGGAACATTTCCAATACGGGTTGATGCCAAGTCAAGGACTCTCAGATGCGATAATTCCCAAATGTCCTCGGGAATTTCCCATTTCAGAGACCAACAGCCCATGGCATGTAGCTCTTCCAACTCTTTAAGTGCGACAATGCTCCGCGGTAGCTCTGTTATCGAAGAATATGAAATATTGATGATTTTTAATCTACTTAGGTCTCCGATAGATTCGGGTAACCGTAGACATTGCGTATTCGAGACATCCAACACGAGTAGCGATTCCAAGTTTCCAATCGACACAGGGAGTTCCCTTATTTTAGTACACGATATAATGAGAGACTTAAGTTTTCGTAGGTTCCTGATAGAACTAGAAAGGTCATTGATTTTTGTAGAATGCAGTTTAAGTACTGACAAGTGCTTTTGGTTACCAATGGAGTTTGGTAATCTCGTGATAGCCGTGTACGAGAGATCCAACTCTACCAGTGATGTCACTCTCTCAAATGATTCGGGCAGCTTCCTCAACTCTTTGCAATTGCCTAAGTACAAGTACTCGAGCTTCTCTAACCATCCAATTCCTTCGGGCAACTCCCTAAGACTTATACACCCATTCGCATTGAAGTAAATTAGGCTCTTAAGCTTCTCGAGGGAACCATCAACTTCAATCAGAAATATGCAATCTTTAAGGATCAACCTCTCCAAACTCGTATAATGAGAGAAGTCTATAGTCTTGGTCAGGCGGAAGCAATTCGTGAGTTCCAAAACTTTAAGCTTTTTGGCAACCTGTTACAATAGTTAGAAGAGAGTAAAGCAGAAATTCCGTACGAATTTAGAGGCGATAAATGGTTGTGCTAGAACTTAGATGTAATTGGGTTGACTCATTTTCCTAATTTAACCCACATAGATCCGTTTATCGAATACTCACACCTATCCAACCTAATCCACATATATACACCTATATATCAACTCAATACAATCTAATTTCATGGCCTTGATTACAAGACCAGTATAGACAGCTTTGTTTTACTCGTGGAATGGCCTTGATTAATCCATTTATGAGCCATTTTATTTACAATAGGTTATTGCCTATATAGTTATGGTACAGTCAATTTTAGTTAAAAACCTAAAAGCAACGTGAGACAATTCAATGGAGATAAAGATAAACAAATATAGCGATGGATGCTACCTTGATTTGACTCCATCCAGCCCAGGCCTCCGTGATGTAACTATGAGATAGGTTGAGAACCACGAGATTGCTTGGATGGAAATTGATGGCAGATAGCTCTTGAGGACACCCATGCCAGGATATGTATTTTAACTCTGAAAGCTTATTCTTGAAGTCTCCATCTAATTCTCCGTTAATTAATTTGAGGAACCTCATGTTTGGAAGCTTTGAAAACTCTTTGCTCGTATAGGTATTTCCACCTAAACAGACTGCTTCAATGGCCTCCTTTCTCTGCCATTTAATGGTAAAGTAGCATAAGAGTAAATGAAAAATATCGTCATTCTCTCTCCCTATTAAAAAGGGCTCCTAATTAATAAATGAACTATTGAGAAAATCATAGAATTTTATGGCTGTAGATATGGTTTCACCTCTTCTGTTCTTATGATATTAAAGGCGGTCAAAGGATCCCAGAACCTGCTCTGCTTTCTTCGATACATCACCCTCGTATCTTCAAGGACAATTTTCCTCCCGAGGTCTCTCAGTTGGTCGTGCATCCAGAATTTGTTGTCATCAGTTATCTTTATCAAGGACATGCAGATAAGGACTTGAATCGAGTGACCCGGGAAAAACCTACAATCTTTCCACATGTAGAATGCATTCATCTTGTCTTCGCCCACAAAGAAACATGCAATGTCAAGAAAGATCTGTTTTTGCTCGTGACTCAACACATTGTAGGTGATCTTCAGCTTGTCCTGGACCTTCTCATGAGGTATTTCTCTTAGATTGTCCAGCACATCTATCCATACGGCTTTGCTTTGGCGACGAAGTAATGAGCCTACAACTTCAAGAGCCAGGGGAAGTCCTCCGGTCGTATAAACTATTTGTCTCGAAAGATAAACATAATCATCTGGAGGAGGATTCCTTCCAAAGGCATGTCTATTGAAAAGCTCAAGTGATTGAATGGAATCCAACGGCTTCACTTCATACTCCAAAGTTTTGTTGGCTTCGACGATGCTTCTATTCCTAGTTGTCAAAATAACTCTACTTCCTGAGCCAAAGGAAATATGATTGATGGCTAGTTTCTCGAGTTGTTCCTCATCAGCTACATCATCGAGAATGATGAAGAGTTTCCTGTTAGAAAGTCTCCGCGCAATCACCTTGATCCCATCGTCGACTTCGTTTATTTCATCTTGAAAGGCCGAACCCAGCGTGTTAGACAATAGTTGTTTCTGTAAATTTATGAGGCCAAAGCTGACTGATGATTCCCTAACATTTCCCAGGAAGCAGCAATGACTAAAGAGGGAATTTAGTTTGTTGAACACATCCTTAACAAGGGTCGTTTTACCGATTCCACCCATTCCATGGATTAGCACAAAGCGCATGCCCCCGGAGTCCACGTCCAACAACTTCAAAACAGCTTCCACTCGATCGTCCATTCCGACTAAATGCTCGGTGACATATTTGTCTTTTGTCTTTAGCTTAATCACAATCTCCCGTATCACCAATTTAATGAATTTCCAGTACCTACCACATTAGTAAATCATCCAAGTCGAAATTGTAAAAGATAACCTTAGGACACTCAGCAAGTAATTGCAATCAACATGGCTAATATCGCTCAGTGCATGAATGACATGATTGCTTCTGTTATAAAAAAAATGGTTTTCAAATTGCAGATGGTATTCATTCAATTTCAAACGGCCTAAACGAGATCTAATCCAAGTTTGCGCACATAATGAAAGTCCAAAATATAATTTACAGAGTGCTCTGGGACTCCTACGTACCCTTGCTTTTTCAATTCCCATCCTTTGATTTTGGCAACACTTCTGAGGGCATCCTCCCACTTTCCCCTCGTTTGGGGGCCGAACTTCTCCTCATGCTCATCCAAAGCGCCAAGGTATAGTTGAGACTTAAGCTTAACATCGCAGGGTTCCACGTCATAGAAAATCGGCATAATCTCCTTCTCGGATGGTTTGGATTTCGTGCACTCCACCATGTGTGTGAGCTCGCGCAAGCACCACACACTCGAAGCATAACCTTTAGAGAAGATGGGTACGTAGATCTTCGACTTTTCAATGGCTGTCGGTAGCTCATCGCCTATTTCTTTGCCGATGTGGAGCTGTTCCTCGTCGAAGAAAACACGGATGTTTGCATCTAGCATACCGTTATAAAGGCAATCCGTGAATCCTTGGCGGGTGTCTGGTCCCCTGAAATTCAAGAAGACCTCGTGGTCAGTCCCTGATGACTCACTGCCACCCGCTTCAGCCTCTGAGCTCTTTATCATGTCCATCCTCACAAGTATTTTCTTCTGGGGGTTTCCTATCTCAGAGCACCTGATCAAGAAAGGCTCGTCCACTTTCCCTAGTTGAATGGTTTTTGAATAGCACTAACCAAAGCCATTTTTAACCTAGTCGAGTCTCCGTCAACTATTAAATGGCGTAGCTTTTTCTCCCCGTGGGCTCCGCTTCTGGTAGACTTGACTTTTGACGAACTCAACAATATGCAAGTCGCTCTCAAAGGAAATAAAATATTGACGAAAATTACAGTATTTTTTTTTTTGGTAAGGTGAAAATTACAGTATTAGTCCTTGGTGTTCCCAAGATTTCATTTTCGGTCCCCGGCTATACTTTGCTTTGTTTTTTGACGTGCACGGACAACTCGAGATTACAATTTTATTTTACTTCCTCAACTCTAATATTTTTTCAGATGCTGTGTTCAAACTTAAGTGATATTTTGAGATAGATTCATGATTAGATTTATTTTACTTGAACAGTAAATTTTCACGTTTTGTTAGCTAATTTGTTTCCTAGATATGTTTGGAGTGACTTTATCTTTTACTTTTTGTTTATTTTTTTATATTTTGCGGCGCTTGCAGTATGACTTTCTTTAATCTGAAGCAATCAAAACTTTCATATTAAAATATTGACATGTTCATTCACCTACATATTTATCATAACTTTCTAAAATTTGAATAACATTTTCATGCTTTGACGGGAAAACAAAAAAGTCTCTGATCTCTTGGTTATTTTCTAATCTTCATTTATGGCCTTTTATGGTTTGATTTGTAAGTAAGTTTGACTCGATGTATTTCAATGTGAAAATCGGGATTTTTCTTTTTCAGTATCGCGCTTTTGCGTGTGAAGCGATATGTCATATGAACTTAGTGCTTCAGTCTCTTCATTTTCATCGTATTAGTTGAAAATGGAGCAAGTATCTCCTTTTCGCTTGGTGAAGTATTGCGAAAATGTCCCTCTACTTTTGGTCTGAATATTGCAATGAATCAGCTTTTTTTAGACATTTTCAGCTAAGAGTCAGCAAACGACCTATTTAGACGGCTTCCGAGTGATTTCCCTCGTCCACAATTCAAAGATGGCAACCGAAGGATTGATTTGAAATGTCCAATCTTGCTTTTTGTTCATTGCTTCTCCAATCTTCTATTTTACGCGCATTTGAATTGATACAGGTTGCGAATCTTCTCGGAACAACCCAAATCCCAATTTAAGCACCCCGATTATAAGCGCACAAGCTACAAAAACAGAACGAAAAAAAAAATAGTTTTAGGGGGGCCTTTCGGAATTACAATTGTGAAGGAGTATTTTGAAGTGGGTGTGCCATGACTTCGGAGATATCACTAGAAAAGACATTTGTGAGCTGAGTTTTATAAGGACTATAGAGAGATTGCCATGCAAGGTGTTTCGAACTGATTTGTTTGACCAAATGCATAATCCTACTGTGTTTGATGAACTTTAACTGATTCTCAAGCATGTTCCATCCAAATTTCCTAACTCACTTTCCTACTGAATTCATGTCTAAAACAGAACTCACGCATCAAATCCTAGCTGCAGCACACCCATTTGTCTTTATTGTTAGCGAGGGAAGCATGCAACAAACTCTCTTCATTGTTGAAATGATTGTGTGGGACGACAAGTCTCGAAGGAAATTTCTTGTTGCTTCAAGTTGTTTAGACCCATGCTTATGTGCAAATGGACTTAATGTGAACCAAATAGGTATCTGTTGACACCTATAATTAATTAGGTTGTCGATAGCAAAATATATAAAATAGCGGAGACGAATGCATGAAAATCGTCAAGGAGTGACGTAATCCATAAAGGATTGTTTATGTAAGTTGACAGCTAGCAAGCATTGGAATATTTTGGGGGGAGGTTTGATAATTTGAAATTGAAAAGAAGAAGCAAGTGCCACCTGAGCCTTCGTACCAAAGATCGTTGACGAAAATTGCCATACGGAACCCGAGTCATCAAAACTGTCGACAAGAAAAGAGCTCGTTGACAATTATTACCTTGGGAAGAACATGTGTCAAGGTAGGAAAAGATCGATGACGATTATCTCCTTGGGAAAGACAGGTGTCAAGGCAGAGATCGATGACGGTTATCGCCTCAGGAAGGACAGGTGTTAAGACGTAAAGAGCTCGATGACGGTTTTCACCTTGGGAAGGATAAGTGTCAAGGCAAGAAAAGATTGATGACGGTTATCGCCTTAGGAAGGACAAGTGTCAAGGCAGGAGGAGATCGATGAGGGTTATCGCCTCGAGAAGGACAGGTGTCAAGACGTAGAGAGATCGATAACGGTTATCGCACGAGAAAGGACAGGTGTCAAGGCAGGAAAAGATCGATGACGGTTATCGCCTGGGAAAGAATAGGTGCCAGAACGAAAAGATAAGGTCAATGGCAGTTAATGGACAGGTGTCATCGAATGAACGGCAAGGATGAGATCAACGGTGGCTATTGAATATAGTATCAGAAGACAGTTGTCAGATTCCCAGTATAAATAGTGCCCAGTAGCCAGAAAAAGCCCCCCCTCGCGAATACACATCAACATACTATCTTTCAATTATCTTTACTTTCAAGTACTGCACTTTTAGTTTCCATAACCACAGTTATCTATGTTTTAAGCCTAGTAGCTTTGTAATGTTGCAACAATGGAGTTCATTTGCCGCCAGTCTATAGCTAGACGGATTTGTCGGAACTGTCTATAAAGTTCAAAGTTTTATTAGCCAAATTTCGTCACAGTACGAAACCTATGTTGCTGATCAAACAAACAAGCTCTTTGTTCACATTTGGATATCTACTATCCGGAATTAGTCACAGAACCCGGTCTCCTCTCATTAAGAACCGAAGAACGACGTTCGGTGAAATATATTTCGTCACGAGAGCATTTCTGACGAAACATATTGTCACGCCCCGAACCCGAACGAGCACGCAATGTCCCTCTGGGGTTGTCAAGCATGCGACATCCCAGGATTTGTCGTCGACCTAATCGAAACACTAACGAGCAATGCATGCGGAAGCAACCTCGAACTCTCCATACAACATATAAACAACAGGATAGTGGAGAGACAAAGAATACACATTAACAAGACACTTTTATAAACATAACATCGATTACAACACATACATTTGCAAGCCTTCTACGAGGTCACTATCTACGAACCACGCACAACAAAAAGGATTGGGTGGTTGGTAAGCTTAACTCCTCTACAAAAGGGGCACTCAAAAGACGGGGTAACTCGACCTATCTTTAATCCCCGTAGTATCCTGGTAGCGTCTTTGGATCAATCACGGTCGCGGGTTTGAAATGGTTTGGTTATACAACCATGAGAACACTTCTCAATAAGCAACTACCTAAACCTCGCTTAGGCCAAAGCGTACTTCCGAACAATTCTAAACATGTGAATCAAACAATCGACATGCCATAAATAATCACAGGCGTCCATACCTCGCTTTGGCGCATACACAAGCCCTGCACGTTAGAATATCGCCATAACATGGCTAATTGCCCATCAAGCACGCGCAAAGCAATTCATGGCATGATCAAGCGTAACATGGTTAATAATCCAGACGTGCTCATCAATTAACTCAGGCAAAGCATTCCCCAATGCAAATCGCACTCATTAAGTCCAGATTATTAACGACCCCTCAGGCCACCGAACTCTCGCCGGTCTTCTGGCGTAACCAGGCATCGTCCCGCTACTTCGGCGACGGCAACGTCCGGAACCCCCGGCCCAAACGGCATTCCACAAAGGAGTATCGATTCGGCCTCCACTGCTATTGACAACGTCTAGAACCCCCGCCTAGACGGCATCCGAACCCCCGTCGGGCATCGTCTGGAACCTTGCCTAGACGGAACGTGTCGTGACCATGCACACAACTCAGCAATCATTACCAATTCTTATCTTTGTAAATTAGCCCAATGTCAGCTAAATCCATCAAAATGCCATGATAATACCGAATAATTCTCGAGAGAGAGAAAAATCGAGAATACACAAAATCGGGTCCAAACTAGGTAGTTGCGTAGTGACAAAAATCCGTTTGAAATAAATAGTAAACCAATTCCAAAAATTATGAAATTTGGATATGTTGTACAAAACATCTTGATGAACATTTTTCATCCAGAACACAAAATCCAGTTCTATCTAGAACCACCTCTTTTTGTCATCCAAAGTCAGACATAAAATATTTTCATTCGGACTGGCCATCCGACTTTAAAAATACATTTCAAGTAGTAAGCAAATCTCCTTAGAAAGATTTTAAATTTTTATATGTTATAGCCACAAATGTTTCAAACAAGTTTTGTGAAGGAAGTATTTTGAAAATAGATCCGGAAAAATTTATAAAAATTCGAACAGACCCGAAGGTTGGAGGAACAGTGTTACCAGCAGACTTATTTCGGTCCAAAGATAGACTTCCGAATGGCATCAAATGACTTCCAAAAATTCCCAAATTAAATTATGTCAAGCTTCAAGATGTTATGAAAAAATTTCATGAGGAACACTTCCTCAAATTCTGCCCACATAAGTCACAGAAAATATAGAAAAATCCAGCGACGCAGCAGCAACCTTACCGGAAATCAACCAACATGCACCACCAAGCAAACCAAGCACAACCAGCCACTAAACCAACTATCCACAGCCCTTAAACCATCCCTAACATGTCCATTAGTCACCCCTTAGTCTAGGGTTAGGAAGCCACTTACTAAGAATGCCTACGCAAGAAACCAAACAAAGCCAAGCCAAGCAAGCAGCAACTGCTCCGGCGGTCGGACCGGTGACTCGGTGATTTCCGGCGACCTGGACGACGGCGAGCGGTTGTTGGACGGCTGAGATGGTTGGCTGGTGGAGGCGGACGAAGCTGCTGGTCGGGTGTGCAGCAAGAAGAAGCCAAGAAGCAGAACAAGAAGCGGCAAAGCAGCAACAGCAGTAGCAAAGCAGCAGCAGCCTCAGCAGATAGGCGGCGGCTCACGGCGGAGTCGGGCGGAGATGGGGGCTGAACAGGGTGGGGATGGTGGCTGGTTCTAGCGGAAAATGGGCTGGCATGGTGCTGGAATGGAGAAGTTGCAGCAAAAGCAG